TTGCAGAATGAGGAATTAGCTGTTGTTTGGCCCTTTATTAGGACTTCTGCCCTAACTCCTTCCACATGCACAGCCTCTGCAGACTTGAGGCCAGATTGCCAGCCCAGCCCACGAGTAAGGACGGCTCAGGCATCTGCCAGAGCAGATTAACAGCACCCCTCAGAGTGAGACTATGGGGTCTGGCTCCTCGGCATGAAGGGGACTGATGGTATGGATGTAGGGAAAAGAGAGGGTCAAAGAACTACGCGAGCCCTTTGCAAGATTGGTTGTTTTCTAATGTTTCATAAACACATAATCCTAGTTGTTCATTCTCACCATTAGGTGACAAAATGGTGTATCTCACCTGATACAATGGTGGAAAATATAAATAGCTTTCTAGCAACCGGGCCTCATTAATATGTATTGGAAACCTAAAATGGTATTCAGCTATGAGGGGGGAAAAGTACAGAATTGCTTTGGATTATAATAATTTCAACAAAGCATCTAATTTATAAATTAAGCTTGCTTAATGGACTTATATTGCCTTGCTCTTTGATCTGAAGAAAAAGGTGGTGAATAATTTATCAAATAAAAAAACCTCCCCTAGCCCAGCCCACACGTCACAATCTGCCCTATAATTTACATTTTTTAAGAGATGCTGTTTCCAGGCAGGAGAACCTGTTCCTAAAGGTTCCTTCTAATATTACAAATGTGTTTTCACGAGGTACACTCTGGGGAAAAAAATAATAATGAAGGAATGCAATTCTGCAGACAAATGTTTCAGCTCTATGCCTTCTTCTCTGAAGACAGTCATTTCAACTAAAATGCCAAAAGGCATTTAGCTGTAGCATTTGTCAGTGGAATAGGGTTGGCTTTAGGTCTCCCTCCTGATTTACAATTGAGTGTTTATTGGGTTTACTGTACTGTAGCGTGTTTTGTTAACCTCTAAAAGACACATCCAGCTTGTGCATTAATCACAAGGATGGTATCTGTCACGGTAAACTGGGTCAGAGTGGGGCTTTTGTGCCCCACCAGACTTTGTGGAAAGGATGCTGGCTGCTCCCAAAGGGGCAGGAAAGATGCGCTGGCAGCTTTGGGCTGGGGTCTGGATAACCTGTGTCCAGCTCCTGAGAAGGTTTCTTGTGAGACATGTAATCTATTCCTCCATGTCTTTTTCAGCCAGAAGAGGGGGGGGAAACTGTGTTACGTTGTGTCACAGTAGCTGGGTGAGCTGCCGGAAAGTCATAGGCCTAAGGAGGATTTAGGTTGGTGTTGTATTATTTAAAGGCTCATTATTGGGAACTTTGTGTCTGGAGTTCCTCAATCCGTTTGTGTCTGTCTGTTGTAGTCATTGCTCAGTAATCCTTGCTTCTGGTCACACACACACGAAGGGCAGTGTTGGTAATCACAGCTCTGTCATGACTCTCCACACATCTCCCGTTCACATTTCTCCCCCATTTGTCCAAAGCAATGAGTTGTCAAACATTTACTGTGGCTGTGCGCAGAGTTTATTCATATTTAAATAAAGCCATTATCCTGGTCTTGAGTTTCAGTAGTTTTCTGCTCTTCCTCTTGAGTATTTCTCTCAGTAGTGCCATCTAATCAGCTTTAGGTTTTAATTAAACAGCTGTCATTTGCTTCCTAGTTCTGTTGCGACCTGATGTTGTATTAAATTTTAATTTAGCCCAGGCTGGATAAGAAGTAGATTCCTTCAGACAACAAAGAAATGCTATTAGCAGGTTACAGTTGTAATTAAGAAGAGCTCTGCTGAAGTGCTAATGCATTCAGGTACAGAGAAGGAGCTGGAGATAAACACGCACATAATTATTATTCAGGAGTAGAGCCTGCAATATGAACGTGTAGCTTCCACCTGGGCTGCTTGAATTGAAGGTTTTGGTCAAGATCTCGCAGCTGAAACCCTCGACAAAAGAAACAGGAAGGGATTCCTGGTTTTTCACCTGGGACCTTGCGGTGTCAGCAGTTAGAGGCTTGTGCTGGTGGTCCCCGGGTGTTGTTCCAGATGTTTCACTGATGCTGTGCCACGTGGGAGGACCTGCCTATGTAAATCAACATTATTACCCCTCTACATTTCAGATGCTGTTAGTAATAACCAGCACAGGTATCTTAAATTCAGTAACACTTCTTTTCTGCAGTAGACCCTACCATGGAAATATAAAACAAGCCTAACAGAATCTAGATGAAATGCTATTAGTTGTTGAAGATGCACTAAAAAAAGTAGTCTGTTTATAAATCTAATGGACAGTCAATTAGCTCAGTTCTGCCTTCATATTTCTTCTTCAGAGGAAATACATTTTTCCAGCCTATAAATAGCCAGCTCTTAAAAAGGTCTTTACAGAGCCTATTATACTTGTGTAACGCTCGATCCAGGCACCAGGCAGCTGAAATATTGATTTATATAGCAGAATTGCTTACCAGTGAAGTGTAGTTTTTTGTGAAGCAGCACCAGCTAATTAGCACAGTGGGTACCTGTTCATGCTGGGAAGGAGGGGAGGTTCAGGACAGCACTTGTGTCGAGTGGGACGAGCATATTTCAGAGCACCCACAAATAGCACGGTCAAGAGGTGTCTCTTCTAAGACTTTTTCTCACATGCTCATCTTCTGGGGGAGTTTACGAAAGGGATGCAAATGTCTTTATCAACTTTGCATTATCCTTCAGAGCATCTCAACTTCAGCTTGGTACCTAAGCAGCATTTAGCATTAGAGGGAGGCTAGAGGTTTTGGTTATCCTTTGTCACACATGAGGGTCAGCACGAGGGTGATAAAACGAACAGTGGAGAACCAAAGAAGAAATTAGTTCAGACCTGCTAAAAACCTGATTCCAAGTCCACTGAAGTCAAGAGAAGCCTTTCATCTGTGACTCAGTAGGGCTTTGGATCAGACCATAATTGCACAGGAGTGCCACTTGCCCCTGACATGTCGTGTTACCTGGCTGTGCTGACAGAGAGCACACTTGGAAGTAGAATTAGTCACATCTTCGTTTTTTGTGACCTTGGCAAAAATACTGGTTCCTCTGATGCACTGAAGAAGACTGTTGTTAAAAATGGCTTGGAAGTAGCATAGTGGGAAACTGCTTCTTGGGGGAGCTTTGACACAGGACCACCATGTCTTCATTGTATATCTGGCATATGTTTATATTGGTTTGATGGCCTCAGATTTATGGGGTATTTGATGTCGGTTTGGTGAAATCTAACTACCTCTTCTCTGACATACTTGTGGATGAAGCACCCTCAGTTTCTCTTTCTTTGTCTTATATAACCTCTTTCCACCTGAGATGTATCTAATTGTTTTCTTTCACCTGGCTGTGTATTTTCTTCTTAGTTTTGTTCAAACCTCAGTCTTTGTAAGGGTTTTACAGTTCCACTTTCACACTTCCACCCCTCTTTCCCGGTGTCCCTCCCTCATGGATGGCAGCTGGTTATAAATGAGCCCATTCAGCATAAACAAAAACTAGACAGTCATTTACCATGTAAAACATCTGGTTTGTGCCTCACAGAGAACAGAACAAAGACAGTATATTTATTTCATGAGGTATTATTCAGAAAAGCATCTCTATTCAGGACAACACTTAAATGCATGCTTAAATCACATTGAAGTCTAAGTGTCAAGTTAAGCACGTACTTTAGTGCTGTTCTGAACAGAAATGGACTTGAGTAGGTGCTTAAATGCTTTTCTGGAACATGACTGCCCATAAAGCTCTAGTAGACTGTATTAGTTAGCTGGCACTTGTGTTATTAGTACTTCAACTCATTTAATTCAGGGTGCTTTTTGTAGAAGTTTCCGAATATTGATTAATAATACATCTTAGTTGCAAGTATTTATTGGTCTTCTCCAGCTGTCCTTAGCTTGTGGTCAATGCCCATTATTTTCTATCAATCCAGCTAGCGGACACCAGCAAATGATAGTGAATATATCTCCCTATGAAGCTGCCATCAAGTTTTTCACTAAAATCCATTTCTTCTTCCACCAATTCTAATAATGGAATTTAAAGTTAGATTAGTTTGAAGCAACTTTCTTTTTTTTTTTCCCAACTGGCAAGCAATTAGTTTTATGAAAGTTGAAAAATGAAAAGCGGATTGATTCAAAGCAGTATTTCCTATTGCCGGCTTTTCAAGGAGGCCGAACAGAATCTCTGTGAAAGCAGAGATCATTCCCTGCCCCGCGGGTGGGTGAGGCTCTGGGCCTGCAGTAACCTCTGCTCAAGCAGAGCCAGGCTGCTCCATGGGCCTTCAGGGGCTGCTCCCCTCCAGCCTGCGTACCTGCTTACGCAAGGCAGGGACCTCTGTAGCAACTCATTTGGAGTAATTAATCAAACCGCAGCCATACCGAGACACAGAGGAAGGCTGTGTTAATGGAGTCATTAGAATGCCAGCACTGTGAATTCATCAGGATTACACATAAATGTGGTAAAACATCTCTAGGTGGGATTTTGATGGGGAAAGATTAAAAAATTGTATATTGCTGGCATTGGTTAGTTGGTAGTAGCCCACCTCATGCAGTTTTTCTCATCATGTATTTATGTCCCAAATGGGAAGGGAAAATGGTCAATTCCAACAATGTAAACTGGAACAGTAAGGAAGAAATGCTGTTACTGTAATGCTTGATTGTCACCTCCCACATCACTGGCACAATCTGGGGCAAAGGGGTGGGAAGAGTCACTGACACCTGTGGTTCCGTGGTGCTGCCAAGCTGCAGATGTGCCTTTGTGTGCAGCTGAGTTACAGACATCATTGCCACAGCAGCCAAGCCTGTAAATGGGCTTAAAAAGAGTAAATTCATGTGTTTGTCAAAACCAGCACTTGATGGTCCAGCAACTTTCGGCTTTGAAAGTTGTTAAACCATTGAGTGCAGGGAGCTCAAAGGGTGTGTGCACGGAAGGGTTGCTCACCCGTCCCGTCCCTGCCAGAGGCAGGGTTTTTGCTTCCTCAGCCTCACCCCTGCGACATTCTCGTGCTTTTATGCTTTTCTAACGCCCGCCCTTCTTTGTGTGTGTGTTCATACAGGACACTGAAGTCCTTAACACGGCCATTCTGACGGGCAAAACGGTGTCTGTTCCAGTCAAGGTTGTTGCCGTGGAGGAGGATGGGTCTGTGGTCGATGTTTCAGACTCCACCGAGTGCAAATCAGCTGATGAAGACGTCATAAAGGTGAGCACATCTACACAGACTGACACGGAGTGATTTATTCTGGTGTGTTCCATATGGGACAGGGCTGGGGATGCTGAAAGAACAGCCCAGGTCTGTCTTTGGCCAGCCAGGGCTGCTGAGAAAGAACGTGTTGCCTGATACATCCCACTTGGGAAAAGTCAATTCCCACACAGGGATCTTTGTTCTCGTGTGGCTTTTCTGCATCCCTTATTGAACAGCAATAGTGCAGTACATTGTAACGGTGTGAGCGATTTCCTACACGCGTCTGACGGCATCACCTACTTTCCAGTCAGGAAATCTTACAGCAGAGATACTGAACTGTACCAAAATCTGGAAGGGCATGACAGAGAATAGAAAATAACCACCATATTGCAAAACGAGAGTCGGGAGCTTTTAAGCAATGTTGTGGTTGGGTTTTTTGTAAAAGAATATTTTCCACTGGTTGTCCCTCCCCGACATTGAGATGAAAATAGCATTAATGTGACTTTATCAAGACACAGACTGCTTAACTTCTGCCAGCATTGCATGGCTTTCAGCTTTTAATTCATTATTATTTTTAGGCATAGAAGAAGTACTTTTGAATAGCTTTAATGTTTATTTGTTTTATTATGTGGTGTAGGGGTGTTCTTATTTTAAATGAACTTAGGAATTGAATACAATGAATTCTGTATAGGGGTGAAGTTTTTTTTATTATTTATTAATTTCTTAGGGTCGTCCTAGAAAGATAGTTTCTTTGCGTCAATTCCAGGAAAGTGCAGTTTATTATATATAAATGCTATAAAAGTAAAGTAGTATAGTCATCCTTTTTACGTAGTATTCATGTAATTATAGATCTTATGATAAGCTCTCTCTGTAGCCTTCAAGAAACAAGTTCCTCCCCATATTCTCTCAACTGTGTCATGTGAATGTATTCCAGACCTGAGCGCTTTTTAAAGTTTTCTCCAGATTGCACTGGAAACCCACATCCTTTACTGTGTACTTTTAACCTATTATTGTAACCTCTGTGTAGTTAAGACTGCAGAAGTCCTAATAGATAGCTTGTACTTTGTCAGATATATTTTCATGTTCTTTAGCTGGCTAAAGAATTGCACACAACAAAGGTATTTATTTTGAAGATCATATGCTGGAACAAAAAATTCACCTTCTTTTTCACAACTCTGAATAAGCTTGTTACCAGTTTTTGGAATAAATTACATCTTCTAAATTAAACAAGATTTCATTGCAGTTTAGATCCAACAACAAAGAAATTTGCAGTTAAAGAACTTACAGGACAACTGTACATGTTGTAGGTATTTCCTCTTTCTGAGATCTACAGGTAGGTGAAAGATGACATCCATGTGATCCTACGTAGCACTTGAAAAAGCAGGGTGGGTTTGGGTGAAAGCCTTAGTCAGGAAATCTCTACTTGCTTCCAACTTTTTTCATAAATTAGATTTAAGTTACTGGGCAGAGGCATGTGTGCCACTGTATCCTCGGAGAAGCTCATAGCTTGGCCTTAGGTACACAGTAACAATGCTGAGTGGTTTTCAGACCTCAAAGCATTTTGCAAAGGACATCAGTGTAACACTCTCTTTTCATGAAAGTGACTGTTGCAATGTTTAGCCTCAGCCGGTGATGGAACAGGTCTCTCGTGTCTCCAGCCTGTGCTCTAGCTTCTGTATTTACCCGTAAATATTAGATGGGGAAATTAAAAATCACATTTTCTGAAAACCAAATTTCCTTGAAAGTCCTTACCAGAAGGAACATGAATTAATATATTTGTTTATGACTAACATAACTGTCAAAAGAGCAGACTCCCTTGATAAATTTTGCTATTCTTTTTTTGCTATATAACATACAGCTATTATCTGATTAGTGGCTATTATTTATCACTTCACAATGAATTGTTCATATTATAAACTCAAGCACCAAATTATATATTATCAAAATACTGCTGAGGCTGTTTCTTCTTTGCTCTTCAGAAAATCAGATCCAGATCTAAAAGATGGTATATGTGGACTTTTGTTTCTATTAATTGATTTTCTAGTATTTCTAGGACTTGCTGGAGTTAGAGAACACTGGACAGAACCAAATAGGAAAAGGTCAGGAAAAAGACTTCTATTCCTCTTCTACTAATAAAATTAGTATCTGCAGACATCAGGGAGATTTTGCTTTTCAAAACACTGCCTGTTTAAAGTCCATTTAGTTCAATCAGTGGTTGTCCATATGGATATCCTGTCACAGCTGGGCATGAAATTGTTCTGGTTCCCAAATTTAAAAGGTCCACTGAAGCTGGCAACTAAATAAGACTTGACATGACCTCTGTGAGCAGAGACAAGATTTCCAGTTGCAGTTGTGGATTTACACACTTCAAGCAAGCAAAGCTCTTGCCCTTTGACCATCTTCCTTTCTTGCTTCTTCAAAAGGGGTTGTATTTCTAGATGGAATTAGACTTGCTCCAAATCACTTTCAAGTTGACGACTGTCCTCCCATTCCTTTCAGTAATCTGGACAGACCAAAACACAGGCCAAAATTCTGCAGAGGTTTTTCAAGATGTGCACTATAATTCCACGCCTCCCCCCCTCCCCTTTTGTTTTTTTTTTTTGGTAGTGACTAAGTTGGGTATAAATCAGGTCTTTGTTTGACTTCTCTGTGAAATTATTTGGGTATCAAATCACCGACAGAAGAAAATGCCTCTGGGACTCTTTCCCAGACCTGGTACCCAACTGGAATATATTGACAATGAACAGAGAGAAGGGGTGTGAATGTGGCCTTCACTGAGCTCATCTGGCCTCATCCTGGTGATATAAAATGGGAGTAGTGTCATTTTTGTGAAAATTGCAGCATCCTTATAATGGATTTCAGTCACAAATTACTGAGAGGTGCTCTCAGACTGAATGCTGTTCAGGCATAATTTTTTAACTGGAAATATATGTATTGGTTGCAAGATTGAATCCATAACGATTAATTAGCTGAGTTAAAATTTAGTACAGCGTTTATGTGCCTATATTTTTTCAGAAAAATGCATATTCCCTTTACAAGCCCCTTTGGTAAAGTCAATATTGACTTTGCTTCCAAATTTGTGTTTCTTTTTCTACATAGGTGGAACTGCTAAACCCTCTAATAAGAGTTGTCAGGCATTTTGGATGTAATTGCCTAATCTTAAGCTTCTTTTCACTGTTAATTCTGCCTTTATTGTTTCTTTGTAATTGGAGAGATATTCATATTCTTTTGGGCAGAACAGAGAGTGTTGCATTCTTAACCTTTTATTTCTGTTTAATAGCTAATGATTTAATAGACAATTAATGAGACAATTCTTTGATCACTTCTGTAACACTATTACTTTCAATTAAGACACAATGAATTGAAGACAGTTTAAATAAAACCAGGCCTTGTCCCAGGCTATTATGTATTTATACAAAATGTGCTGCTCTGGGCAGCTACCTGGGTATCACCTTAATAAATACTACTCAGAGATGGCAAAATAGATAGATGATGTACAAGTGATTTATCTGTAGACAGGAGATGTGAATCTTTCCTATTCCAAGCCATATATTCCCTGCACCTAACAGTTTAATAGCTTCCCAGCAAGAAAAAATTGAGTCCACGTTTTTAAAAGCCTACCTAATTAGTGATAAATACAATAAAACACACCTATTACTTTTTGACCTTGCATTTTCTGACCTTAGTGTGACTTGATCCTGAAAGGAATCTCATAGTTAGACTCGCCCAGTTCAACTACAATCCCTGGTCCCTACAGCTGGACACAGGTTGTGATACTGACCAACCATTTTAGCTTGACCTGGCTGCCCTCTAAAAATTTTTGATGGAAACATTCTGTAAGTCAGTGAAACTCTTATGCTTATTCCATTATTGAAAAGGAACATTTAATGCTGTTGGCATTTGAGGGAAAAGATTGGCTTTATGATTAAGGCACTGAAATGCTTCTCAGCATTAATTTCCATATCTCTTGCTGATTTCCTGTGTGACTGTGGGTAAATCACTCATTCCCCTTGGAATCCTGCTTCCTTATCTGCAAACAAGGCGGAGAAGTACATCCCTTTCCCAGGCTCAGCCTCCCTTACACAGTTTCTGCAGCTACTGTTGACTCTGAATGGACAAAATCCTTATCTCCACTGGAGTCTCATTAACTTCAGTGGTCTTCTGCCACTCACTTGAAGGACTTCCTGCCCAGTGTCCTGCTTTTCCTGCGAGCCACAGCTGAATAGGGTTGTGAAGCTGAAAAGAAAAAAGCAGTGGAAACTTGATAGAATTTATGCACAAATTATTCAGCTGCTCTGCTGATGGGCAATACACTGAGAGATAGAGAGGCTGTAGGCATGGTGGGCTGAACCCTTCTATATGTACGCTGATCCACGGAGCCTCAGTCTTCACAGGTGGGGAAAAAAGGCCTCAAAGAAAAAGATTAAAGCATTTGTACCATGGCAAGGACCTCCTGTGCTTGTCCATCCTGCCAGGAAGCGTAAGCACTGCTGAAATTTTACTGGCCTGTTACAGTGGATTTCATTTGCTCCTCACTGGCCTTCAAGCCACAGTTAGAGGGAAATAAAGAATGAGACCAACATCAGTGATGGAGAGAACACCTCGAGATGGTTGTATTACAGAGGGAAGTCTAACCTGAGGGGCTTTGGCACAGTCAATCTTTACAATTGCTAGGAAGCTCCAAGCAAGCTCCATGCCCTCCTCTTTCCTCCCTGTAAAAGTGCCTTTAAGAGCCTGAACCATAGGAATTTCACTTGGAAGAAAAATTCTGAAAGCAGTGTAGTTACGTGGTAGTTATAAACATCACCCACAAAGCATCATCAAGTGAGGAAATTATAATGAGGACAGCTTCTTAGTCCAAATGTTTATCTCAGTAGTGTACAACTGAAAGGGAGACAGCTGCCCAATTAATTCATTCTTAGATTAGTCATATTTTCATGTCCTTTGCGAGTTACGCAGAAATTGACTGATGGTTCAAATTAATCTCTGCAGTAATTCAAATGGCTTCCATGGAGTTA